CTGCACCTCACTTCCTCACATGTAAAATGGGGATGGTACAAAAAGAGCTGGCAGGAGCCTCTATAGGAGTTGGTGAGCTCACACCTACAAGCTGGGGGCAGCAAACTCTTCCTGTAAAGGGTCAGACAGCACATATCTTGGACATTATGGGCCACATAGTCTTTTCTGTTTTCCAGGGTGAGGTCTTGCTATATCATCCAGGCTGGTCTTGAACTTCTAGCCTCCAGCAATCCTCCTGCCTCGGCCTCCAGAGTAGCTGAGACTATAGGTACATACCACCATGCCCAGCTGATGGGGCCCAAGCAATCAAATGGAGCAATCACACATGTTGATGTCAAAGGTATTTTTCATGTATTTAGTCCAAGAGCTGTCTACAAACTAAGGTGTATACTATCATGCTGTCGTGTGTACTATTTCATTCACACACACACACACGCACACACGTACCAGTTCATTTATCTCGGAATGATAACATATAGTTTTTTCACTTTTTCTGGAAGAAATACTTACTGCTTTATAATAAGAAATGCAGTCAAACTGGTGCCCAGAAAAGAATTGAATATTCCCAAAGTGATTTGACCACTGAAGTGAAATTATTAGTTGTTTTTTTTTTTTTTTTTTAAGACAGAGAGTCTCAATCTCTTGTCCCAGGCTAGAGTTTTATAGAGTCAACCTCAAACTCTTGGGCTCAAGAGATCTTCCTGTCCAAGCAGCTGGGGCTACAGGCACCCGCCACCATGCCAAGCTAATTTTTCTATTTTTATTAGAGCTGGGGTCTCACTCTTGCACAGGCTGGTCTCGAACTCCTGAGCTCAAGCTATCTACCCTCTTCGACCTCCCAGAGTGCTGGGATTACAGGTGTGAGCCACCATGGCTGGCCAGAGTCAGTATTTACTAATTTGTCCAATACAGCCTTACGAGGGATCTGTCACAAGCCAGGAACTGGGTAATACACCAGAGAAAGGAGGGAGAATGGAGGGCGATGAGACAGAGCTCCCTGTGTCGTGGGGTGCTCATTAGGTAAATGCACCCACTCATGGAGTGGTCCAGTAGGCTGGGCTATTTGCATAGAAAGGCACAGTCTCTTCCTCTAATTTGACTGCAGGCTCAGATGACACACACTCAGCTGATGATCAATGAAACTAACGGAAGGCCTCCCGATATCCGTGATGAGGCTGGTGTGCTGACTTCAAGCGAGGCAAACGATTCCACCACATGAGCTCTTGTTTCACTCACCCACAAACCAGGATAGAGCTAAGGCTCGGAAAACATTCTGCAAACAGCAAGACTCTGCACACACCGCAGGGGAGATTTAATGCTGAGATCTGAACTCCATTCTACATGAGTTGACAACCTGGAATTTAAATCATGACAGATGCCAAAGTGCAGGGGAGAAAACATGTTTACGAATTCAAAGACTGAACAGAGACAGGCAGGGAGCCGCAGGATGCCAGGTCACCGCGCCTCGGAGGGACGCCGCCTGCTTATGCACTGGGGCAGCTCCTGACTTCCTGGCAGTTGCTTGCAACTCCAAGGACAATCTGTACATTTGAAATTGCATAAAATTTCTTTTTAAGATCCTGCTTATATATGTTAAAGAAGTATGTGACGTTTAGGAAGTATTTAAGATCTATGGCTTTGAAAACAAATCTTCCACATCTGGCCACTGGTAGAATAGAAGGCAAAAGGGATTTCCAGTTAGGTCGTGGGTTTGAACCCTGTCTCTGCACCCTTTCATAAGTTATTTATCTCCTAGCTTCAGGATAATAATACCTCTCCTTCAGGGAAAGTGATAATGACAGTGATGGGCGTACACAGTACAGATGTTCGATACACAGCAGCTGTTTTTTTTCCCCGCTTAGTGGGAAAGCCTCAAGAAACAAATGAAGCAATGGGATCATGTCACCTAGAAGCTGTGTCTCTGGAGAAATCAGCTCTTTATAAAAGGGAGGGAGGCCCAGGGTGGTCTTTCTGCCCCAAAGCAAAACCTGACCTCAGCCCTGTCTCAAAAGGTGACAGAGGATCCCTTGTCCTTCTCAGTGGTGTGCAAAGTCTAAATGAGACTGAAAATCCACACACAAAACCAGCCCTGTGCTTCGCGTCCCTCTGAGATCTTATTTGTGCCTGAGTAGAATGCGTCCGATTTTTCTGCATTTAAAAAAGGATTAAAGAGTGTGAAGAAGGCAGCACTGCAGCCAGGGACCAGCCACGAGCAGAAGCAGCATGGTACGGCTTGCATCAGAATTACCCCATAGCAACTGGGAAATAATCAGATTCTAGGCCAATCTCTCAGATCCAGCAGGCCTAAGGGGGTCTAGGTGTAATTCATATTTTACTAAGACCTGCACTGATAGGTACCATGTATATTTCTGGTGCTTTCCAAGGGCAGGCTTTGGAACCACTCGTGTGGTAGAGAAGGCACTAAGCATTGGCCTTGGCAGGCTCAGACCAAGACCCAGCTGAGAGCCAGCTCTCAGGCCCAATGTTAAAATTTTATCAAACTACACCATCAGACAGCACTGTGGTTCAGTGAGTAGGGCACTGGCCCCTATCCGAGGACGGGTTCAAACCTGGCCCTAGCCAAACTGCAACAAAAAAATAGCCAGGCATTGTGGCAGGCGCTTGTGGTTCCAGCTACTCTAGAGGCTGAGGCGAGAGAATCGCCTAAGCCCAAGAGCTAGAGGTTGCTGTGAGCTGTGACACTATGGCACTCTACTGCGGGTGATAAAATGAGACTCTGTCTCTAAAAAAGAAAAAAAAAATTACATCATGGCTGGGCCTAGAGTACAGCAGCCTGGGACTTCTCTGCAGGTTCAAACATATGTATAAACAGGAAACTATCCTTATGAACTAGGCACTAAATTTTATATATAAAAAGTATAATAGGGCAGCGCCTATGGCTCAGTTGATAGGGCATCAGCCCCATATGCTAAAGGTTGTGGGTTCAAACCCAGCCCCGGCCAAACTGCAACAAAAAAATAGCCAGGCATTGTGGCTGGTGCCTAAAGTCCCAGCTACTTGGGAGGCTGAGGCAAGGGAATTGCCTAAGCCCAGGAGCTGTAGGTTGCTGTGAGCTGTGATGCCACAGCACTCTACCAAGGATGATAAAGTAAGACTCTGTCTCTAAAAAAAAAAAAAAAAAAAAAAGTACATTGTATATTCACACATATATGTATACACACAAGTATGCACAAGCATATTCATATACAGATGTGTGCACACATGTATATGGGCACTTATATGAACATAAGCATGAATATATACGCACGCGCACACACACACACACACCACTATCTCAGTTAATCCTCACACAAGTTCTATTTCAGTACCAATATTATCTCCATTTCTCTGATGAGGAAACTGAGGCATGAGGAAATAAGAAACTTGCCTCTTTTGGTCAGTGGCAGAGACAGGATTTGAAGATGGTGGGCTGGCTCCAAAGTTCTCTTTCATAGTCACTACATTATAACAAAATCACCCAAGATGACTCAGAATAGAAATCTGGAAAGCAGTTTGTGTCTAGGGGTAGACGCTGCCCGATAATGTTTGCCAAGAAGCCCTTCCATTTCTGTAGATGCATGTTATGCCTCCTGTTGAGAGCTGGAGTGAATTTCCTTGTGTTGAATCTGGGCTGGCTTGTGACTGCTTTAACCAGTAAAAAATGATGAAAATGATAGCATGCTAGGTCTATGCCTAGCCCATACAAGGCCAGCTTTGGGGATCCAGCCCCCATATTGTGAAGCAGACAGGGCTAGACCACTCATGAGGAGAGACCTCCAGGAAAGATAGAGGGGCCATTCCAGCCAAAGCTCCAGACTCCCACTGAATGCAGCCACCAAGATTCTAAATGCCTCCACGTGGAGCAGACCCACTCGGCAGAGATCAGCCAACCTCCAGAACTAGGAGAAAAATAATTTGTTATTTTAAGCCACTATATCTTGGTGTGGTCTGTTGTGCTGCAAAACTGATTGATATACCTACATGGTTTGCAGACAAGTATACATTTTATTATAAGCAACACTATTTTTTGATCACGGGTCCAGGCAGGGTACGACATACATTACGTTCATTGTCCTGTTTAATCTTTACTGCCACCCATGTAGAAGATATTGACATTATTTCCATTTATTAACAAAGAAACTGAAGCCTAATAAATAACTTACCATAAACATTGATTGGCATTTCTTGGATTTGTACCTAAGTCTATCTCATTCTAAAGCCTGTGTTAATCAGAGTTCTCCAGAGAAAAGGAACCAATAGGATGTGTGGATGTGTGTATACAGATAGAATGAAAGAGAGAGATTTTAAGGAAATTGTTCACATAGTGGTGTGGGCTGGAATTCTGAATTATGCAGTGTGGGCTGGCCAGCTGGAGACCCAGAGATACCCTAATGTTGCAGCTGTAGTCCAAAGGCAGTCTAGAGGCAGAATTCCCACTTCCTGCTTGTTAGGCAACCTCAATCTATTTCCCCTTAAGGCCTTCATCTGATTGGGCAAGGCTCACCCACATTATGGAGAGGAATGTGCCTTAATCAAAGTCTGCTGATTTACATGTTTAACCTCATTTTAAAAATACCTCAGTGACATCTGGACTGCTGCTTAACCAAAGCCAGAGTATTGCAGTAGGTATCATGGCCTAGCCAAACTGACACATGAAATAAACCATCAGGCAACACTTCTCTCACTCCGTGGCAAACCTGGACCTGCATTCTCAGTTACAGTCATGATTCACATAATTAACAAAATAAATAAGACTTGCAGTCAGTCTAATTAAATGGTGTGGCACCTAAAGCATGTGGTAATAGGTTACTAGCCACACTGGAGCCATCGAGAAATGACCCTTGAGGACAAGGAGAACTGGCCCAGCTGGAAAGGACCAACAGTGCTTAAGAAAACAGGTGACAGGAATTAAGGATGGCAACAGTCAGGAGAGCATTGTGGTGGTTTTCAGAAGCCAGCTGTACCCTCAGCAAGCTGTGTGACCTTGAGCCATACCTCACCTCTCTGAGCCGCAGTCCTTTGCTGATCTGCAAAGAACCATCACATTCTTCCCATGATTCTCTTCAACTTCATCTCAGGTACAGGTCACTGCCATAGCAACCTCCTTTCCACACTGGGAAAAGTCCAGCAAACTCCACTTTGCCACTGCAAAGAAAGAGAGGTACAGAGTGAATCATTCTCTTCCCAGTTTCATCAAAACCCATGGACCCCCAGAGCCCAGGCTCTTCTTCTCCTACCGGTTAGGATAACCAACAGGAGGTTCTCAGCCCGTTCTCACACACTGGCTGCCAACTTAGAATCTGTAGGAATTCACATCTTCCACCAGCTCTTAACAAATCCTATAGTCACCAGCAACTATTCAACCCAGAACTCAGACTGGCGAGAGGTTATCACTTTCACTGAATTTTGTTGTCTTGCCTACACTAAAGCCAGCTGTTTCCTTTAAATTGGTATCATTCAGGCCAGGAAGTTTCTTTTTCTCTGTAGTCCATTGTATGTGAGAAGATCAGAGGGCCCTGTCAGATTCAAGGATGGAACCAGCTGGGCACTTGGAGATATAGGCTGACTTCCCTGGCCTGACCTGGCCTTGCCCCAGCCCTCCTGGGTGGTCAACCAGTCTGCTGTACTTACCAACTACAGTGAGAACAACAGGGGCCTCATAATGAGAACGAAGCAGAGATTTCTAAAAGATATCTGGTCTGCTCCAAAGCCAGCTACAAAATGCATATCACGCACATCTCATTCTGTCTCACAAACCCACTGCCTCCAGTCCACATAGGGACAAGTTCTGGAACTTGCCTCCAGGAAGCAACCTCTCCAGTGAAACAAACCCTTCTGAGGAGGCTGTGTGGATATCAGGCAGAACTACATCTCTTTCTCATCTCATGGATGAAAAGGCTGAAGTTGATAATAATTCCAATATATGTACAGTATTTAGTGCAAGTGAGGCTTCATTCTAAATGCCTGACATGGGCTGTGGTAAGCAGAATATGGTCCCAAAGGTGTCCATGCCCTTGTCTCTGACACCTGTGAATATGTTAGGTTTCATGGCAATGGAGAATTCAGGTTGCAGATAGAGGAAAATTGCTAATTTGAGGGCCTTAAACAGAGAGATTATTTTAGATTATTTCTGTGGCCCCCAACATAAGTGTAGGAGTCCTTATAAACAGAAGAGGGAGAACCAGAAGAGAGAGCCAATCAGAGATGCTACCATGGAAGAAAAGCACAAAGAGATGGAAGAGAGAGCCAATCAGAGATGCTACCATGGAAGAAAAGCACAAAGAGATGGAAGAGAGAGCCAATCAGAGATGCTGCCATGGAAGAAAAGCACAGAGAGACAGAAGAGAGAGCCAATCAGAGATGCTACCATGGAAGAAAAGCACA